ATAGAATAGAATAAGAATAAAACAATAATAGAATAAAATGGAATAATAAAACAATAATAGAATAGAATAAGAATAAAACAACAATGGAATAAAATAGAATAAGAATAAAGCAATTAGAGTAAGAATAAAAACAGAATATAGAACAGAACAAGAATACACTCAAGACTTGGAAGGAGCCTTTGATCCAAGGCGGAATCGTTCCTGGCATCTTCCTTGTTTGGGTTCCATCCTCACCGGCTTCCTCACCTCCTTTCTCGCAGGCTATGCGCTCCGATGATGACCTGAGCACCGTTTCCGAGGAGCTGTACAACCGCAAGATCCGCGTCCCGCCTTTCAGCCACACGCTGGACGGCCTGGTAGCCTTCACCACCTACCACGTGCGCGTGGCCTGCCATTCCACCGAGGGCCACTCGCCCTGGACCCACTGGGTGGCTATGGACACCTTGGAAGGGGGTAAGAGACATGGGGAGGGATGAGGTGCCGGGACCCCAGCCAGCCCCCTAACTCCGAATGGTCACCGCCAGTGGTCATAAATCCGGAGGCCTACCTATAGCCAGAAATGGCCTCTTCCTTCTTGTAGGGAGGACTTAAGTTACGATGCTTGCAGTTAGTCCTCGACTTACAACCGTTCATTTAGTGACCGTTTGAAGTTAGAATGGTGCTAGGAAAAATCAGTTTTTCACACTGATGACCGTTGCAGCATCCCCATAGTCATGTGATCAAAGTTCAGGTGCTTGGCAGCCGGCTTATATTTATGACGGTCGCGGAGTCCCCTGATTCACCTTTTGCTACTGTCTTACAGACAAAGTCAGTGGGGAAGCCAGGCTCGCTTAACAACCAAGTTATTAACTGAATAACTGCAGGGATTCACTTAACAATTGTGGCAGGAAAGTTCGTAAAACGAGTCAAAATGCATTTAACAAGTGTCTCACTTAGCAACATAAATTTCGGGCTCAATTGTTGTCATAAGTCAAGAATTACCTGTATTTTTTTTATTATTTTATATATTTTTTATTTTATTTTACTGTTTGTTTTGCTTTGCTTTATTTTATAATTTTATTATTTATTTTATTTTATTTTATAGAGTAGAGTAAAGTAGAGTAGAAATAGAATAGAATAGAATTCTTTATTGGCCAAGTGTGATTGGACACACAAGGAATTTGTCTTGGTGCAAATGCTCCCAGTGTTCATAAAAGAAGAAAGAAGATTTATGTTATTTTATTTCATTTCATTATTTTATTTTATATTTTATAAATTATTTGCTTGGTTTCTATAGGCCACGCATCTCAGCAAATGACTCTGGGTAGCTCACAATTCAAAACCTTAATATTACGATTAAAATTTAAAAAAAAAACATATTAAAACAATTTAAAAAACAGCCCAAAGCATTAAAACAGTAAAAAAGAAATAAAAACCCACATTAGAACATCCAATTCGTGGTTGTGCATACAAAAAAAACCTCCTGCCGTGGTGCACATATATCGCTTCTCCCACAGTGCCTGCAACCGCGCCGGAGAACATCGAGGCTAAACAGAACGGCAGCTGTTGCACCATCCTCCGGTGGAGACAGCCGCGGGGCAGCATCAACGGGATTCTTCAGGGGTACAAGCTGGTGTGTCAAAGTGGGGATTCACCCGAGGTGAGTAAGCTGCACCCGTAGGTTGCCCAATTCCCAAGCATCTTGGCCAAGCGTGCTTGTTCTGACCAAGGCTTCCGTAATTATGCACACTCTTATTTTAAAAACAAGTCTTGTTTTGTTGCAATGCTGGGAATTATGTTCTTTCCCAGCCGGCAATGAATCTCAAACAGTCCCTCAAGATAAGCACCCACCTTGTTTTCCTGTGAAGTGCTGCCAGTAACAGAAGTATCCAATGAACTAGAAAGAAAACCAACTGAAGTACAAAGAGCTTCAAGAATGAGTCTGAACTGAACAAACGACTTTGCTTCCTGCAAAGGTTTTCCTACCTTTGCACTTCCTTTATACCTTATGGGAAGGGCCAATCACTTCCCAGCCTTACTCCAGAGTCGCCCCTTTTGTTTCAGCTGCTCTCGCCTTCTAGCAGCTCTGTGCACACACGCACTGGGAACAGGCTCCCCTGGGTCCTCGGCCTCACTGCTGCCAGACTCTGGAGGCTCCAGAGTCAGCACCCCACTCCCAGATGGTCCTGGCCCCATCTCTGCATTGGAAGCAGGACCCTTGTCCAAGTCCTCCCCAGACTCCTGGACTGGTCCCCGTTCTTCCCCACTGTCCGATTCCCCTGCCATCTGCATAGGCTGCTGGTGAACCACAACAGCGTGCTGCACCCCAGGGGCCCCCAGTGGCCCCCAACATTTGGGGCACCAGGGACTGGCTCTTTGGAGAGAGGATTTTCTGTGGACCGGACTGGGTGTGGTTACGCATGCTGCCTGCATCCCACAGATGGGACTTCACTTGTTTACGTGGCCCTGGCTTCTAGCATGCCACGGACCGTTGCTGGTCCACGGACCCGAGGTTGGGGACAGTGGTGGAATTCAAAATATTTTACTACTGGTCCCGTGGGCGTGCACGCACGGAGCGTTCTAAAACGGGCAATTTTAAGCATGAAGACTTTCCTTACCGTCAGCGCTGGTGAGTAAAACAGCTGTGGCGTAGCAATCCACTCTGCCGCACCTATCAGCTGAGCTACAAACAGAGGAATATATAGGACAGGAAAGGGCAGGGCCAACTGCTGACCGGCGCTACCGGATCGCTAGAACCGGTGCGAACCGCCAGCATGCCACCACTGGTGTACCCTATTCCAGTGAGGGTGAACCTTTTTGTTGTGGTGTGCCGAAAGTGCGTGCGTGCCGGCACTCACAATGCAGTGCGCCCCCTCTGCCCATGTGTGCGCAACACCCCCCCACCCCCTTTACCTGCACTGTGCATGCGCGTGCCTCCCAGGTGATTTTCAGCCCATTTGAGGCCATTTTCGCTCTCCCGGAGGCTCAAGGGAAGCTTCTGCAGGCTCGGAAAGCCGAAAAACGGGCTGTCCGGAAATGCCAGAAGTACCCATTTTCAGCCTCCAGAGGGCCTCTGGAGCCCGGGGGAGGCCATTTACGCCCTCCCGGAGGCTCAAGGGAGGCCTTGGGAGCCTGAAAACGGGCCCGTTTCAGCACTTCTGGTATTTACGGAAGGCCTGTTTTTGGGCCTCTTGAGGCTGCAGAGGCTTCCCTCGAGCGTCCGGGAGGGCGAAACCGGCCTCAAACAGGTCGAAAATCAGCTAGGGGGCACGCACATGCGCAGTGCAGGTAACTTTGGGTGGGGCTCACATGCCCGCACAAATGACTCTGTGTGCCACCTGTGGCATGGGTGCCATAGGTTCGCCCTCACGGCCCTATTCCAATCGCCAGCAGAAAGTTTACCGATCATCCTCGACTTACAGCCGTTCGTTTCCGCGACTGTTCTAACAGCACTGAAAAAAAAATGGGACTTTCAGCTGGTCCTCCCCTTATGACCATGGCAGCAGTCACGTGATCAAATCTCTCTTCCCCTCAAGGTGGTTGTGGATGTGGGACTGACCAACGAGACAGTGTTGTCTCTGAACTCAAGTGTACAGAACTTGACCGTACGGATTGCAGCCTACACCAGTGCCGGAGACGGACCCTGGAGCGAAGCCATCACGATCCTCTCCTCGGAACCAGGTGAGAAATGGGAGGCTGCAGGACATGTCACCTGGGAGAGCCTTCACCTTGGCTGGTTCTGATTGCAGTCAGACCACCTGGCTCTTCGTTTCTGCTCCGTTTCTTGCAGCTTGGAAAGTTACAGAGTTCTCGAGCATGACAGTTGTGAAGTGATGTTGGGCTTCCAGTGTAGGTTTGGGGAGCCCCCAAAGATCCAAATGTTGTTCTAACTGAGGCAATGGCAGCCAAAAGCGCCTGCCTGCCTGCCTGCCTGTCCACCATCTCCATCCATCTATCATCTATCTGTGGAGTTCTTGGTTCTCTTTGGCCTTGATGGGTTTGCTTAAGATTTTTTATTGCCCAAGTATCTGCCTAGCTGTCTAGTTATTTCCATTCACCTATCCATCCATCCATCCTCCCATCCTTCCATCCATCTACCTAGCCATCCATCCCTCCATCTACCTGCCCATCTATCCACCTGCTTATCCATCCACCCATCAATCTATCTGCCATCCCTCCATCTACCTATCCATCCCTCCATCTACCTATCCATCTCTCCAGCTACCTGCCATCCATCCAACCATCCATCCATCCATCCACCCATCCACATAGATAGTTCTTAATGTTTTTTTTTTCTCTTTCCAGGTGAATTACTACCAGCTCCTCAGTCAGGTGAGAGGCTTTTTTTCTGAATTCAAGGAACACTAAAAATGGAAAGTTGGGATCCCACAATTAGGATTACTATATCTTCCATCTAGTGATCCTATGGAGTTTTGCAATGCTCATGTAATGGTGGAGGTGCCACGCACTCTTAATTTTGATCACGTGGCCGTGGGAATGCTGTAACATTCGTAAAGGTGAAAAATGGTCATAAGTCAGTTTTGCAGTGCCGTTGTAATTTCAGGCATTATACCAGGGGTCCTCAAACTTAGAAACTTTAAGACTTGGTAGACTTCAACTCCCAGAATTCTCCAGCCAGCATGGGATTTGAAGTCCACAAGTCTTAAAGTTGCCAAGTTTGGAAACCTCTGCCCTATACAAAGAGTTGTACATCGAGGATTATCTATACTGGTTTACTGTTTACTTACTTGAATTCTACTGTATAAGTACACTGAAGATGGTATTTAATTTCGTTGTATGATGTGCAGTGACAATAAAGTAAAGTGAAGTGAAGTAAAGTTAAAGTGAAGTGAGGTGAAGTGAAGTGAAGTTAAAGTGAAGTAAAGTAAGGTAAAGTAAGATAAAGTAAGGTACGGTAAAGTAAGGTAAAGTAAGGTTAAAGTAAAGTAAAGTGAAGTGAAGTAAGGTAAAGTAAAGTAAGGTAAAGTAAGGTAAAGTAAGATAAGGTAAAGTGAGGTAAAGTAAGGTAAAGTAAGGTAAGGTAAGGTAAAGTAAGGTAAA